AAAAAAAAATATGAACAGTAAAATGATGAGAAACTCATAACTATCAACAACCGAACCTGAAAAACAACAAAACTAAGCAAACATCTAGAACAGGAACAGAATTAGAAAAATGGAGATCATATGGAGGGTTATCAGTGGGGAGGGAGAAGAGAAGAATGGTGGGGGGAAGATACAGGGAATAAGAAGCATAATTGGTAGGCATAAAATAGGGAGAGGTTAAGAATAGTATAGGAAACAGAGAAGCCAAATAACTTATATGTACAACTCATGGACATGAACTAAGAGGGGGAGGAATGAGAAATGGTGGCGGGCTGCATGCTGGAGGGAGGATACAGGGGAGAGAAAAAATTGGAGAACTGTAAGAGCATAAGCAATAAAACATATTTAAAAATTTATAAAGAACTTACAAAACTCAACATCTACAAAAAAATAATTAAAAATGGGCAAAGGACCTGAATAGACACTTCTCCTAAGAGGTAATATAGATGGCCAATAGACACATGAAAATGTACTTAATGTCACTAATCATTACAGAAATGCATATTAAAACCACTGTGAGATACCATCTCACAATTGTCAGAATAACTATCATCAATAAATCAACAAATAACAAATGCTGGCAACCATGTGGAGAAATGGGAACCCTTTTGCACTGTTGGTGGGAGTGCAGGCTGTTGCAATCACTGTGGGAAACAATATTGAGATACCTCAAAAAATTAAAAATGGATCTGCCTTTTGACCCAGAGATCCCACTTCTGGCAATATTTGAGGGAACCCAAAACACTAATTTAAAAAAAGTGTAAGCTTATTTGAACAAATAATAAAGGAGAACTTCTCCAATATGGCAAAGGCAATAGACTTCCCGGAAGTCCAGGAAGCTCAGAGAGTCCCAAAGGAGTTGGACCCAAGGAGGAATACACCAAAGCACATCATAATTACACTAGCCAAGATTAAAATGAAAAGAATCCTAGAAGCAGCAAGAGATAAGGGGACAGTCACCTACAAAGGAGTTCCCATCAGACTGTCAGTGGATTTCTCAAAAGAGACCTTCCAGGCAAGAATGGGCTGGAAAGAAGTATTCCAAGTCATGAAAGACAAGGACCTACATCCAAGATTGCTCTATCCAGCAAAGCTTTCATTTAGAATGGAAGAGCAGATAAAGTGCTTCTCAGATAAGGTCAAGTTCAAGGAGTTCATCACCACCAAACCCTTATTATATGAAATGTTAAAAGGACTTATCTAAGAAAAAGAAGATAAAAAAGATGAACAGTGAAAGGACAGCAAATTCACAGTTATTAACAACACACCTAAAACAAAAGCAACCTAAGAGGACAGCTATATCAGGAGCAGAACCATAGAAATGGAGATCACATGGAGGGTTAGCAACAGGGGAATGGGAGGAGGAGGCGGGGAGAAGGTACAAAGACTAAGTAGCATAGATGGTAGGTAGAAAATAGATGGGGGAGGACGAGAATAGTATGGGAAATACAGAATCTAAAGAACTTGTGATACATGGACATGAACTAAAGGGGAGAGTGGGGGGAGTGTGTGTGCAGGATGGAGGGGAATGAAGGGGAGAAATGGGACAACTGTAATGGCATAAATAATAAAACATATTAAAAAGAAGAGTGTAAGCATCCCTATGTTCATTGAAGCATTATTTACAATCACTAAGATATGAAAGCAGCCCAAGTGTCCATCAGTAGAGGAGTGGATAAAATAACTATGGGACATTTACACAATGCAATACTGCGGGGCCATAAAAAATAAGCAAATTTTACTCTCTTTGACAGTATGGATGAACCTGGAGAACATTATGCTACGTGAAACAATCCAGTCAGGGAAAGACAAATACCATATGATTTCACTTATATGTGTAATCTAGTGAACAACCTGAACTAGCAAGGAAAATGGGGACAGACTCATAGATGGAGAGCAGGATGACAGCTAGATGGAGGGATGTAATGGAGTGGAAGGATTAAGCAAAAAGGAAAAAGGACTCATGGACATGGACAACAATACTGTGATTATTAAGGGGAGGGGCACATAAAGGGACTAAATGGTAATGGAAAAAATACAATAAATATTAAATTATAATGCCCTGGCTGGTGTGGCTCAGTTGATTGAGTGCCAGCCTACAAACCCAAGGGTCACTGGTTAGATTCCCATTCAGGGCACATGCCTGTGTTGTGAGCCAGGTTTGCCAGTGCGGGGCACACAAGAGGCAACCAGTCATTGATGTTTCTCTTCCTCCCATTCTTCCTCTCTTCCCCTCTCTCTAAAAATAAATAAATAAATATTTTTAAAAATCAAAAAGTTAACTGAAGCTGAATGCAGCCTCTCACAACACCAGCAGGTACATTGCTAGAGATGGGTTCCTAGAACCCAAGGGGCCCATGCTCCTGAAGCTAATTCCAGTTTTTTTGCCCACCCCCATATAGTAAAGTGGCATTTCAAATCACTGGGGGAAAATTAGCTAAATCCCTACTTCACTCCTCACTCCCAAATAAAATCCAGACAGAACCAAGATTGAAACAAAAAAATTAAGTTATAAAAGTACTAGAAAAAACAAAGTTTTTTTTAATTTGGTTTTTGTTTGGTTTGGATTGGCAATCTTACCTTTCTAAGCAAAACCCAAAGCCATAGGGAAAGCCTGATAAATTTGTCCACTTTAAAACTTTACATTTCTACCCAGAAAGACATAATAAAAACAAATAAATGTTCAAAAAGCGCCAAGCCAAAAGACAAATGAAAAATGTTTAATAACAAAAGACAGACAAAAGTTTGTTTTTTATTTATAAAAAGATTTTATAATTTCATAAGATAAAATGTGCAAAGGACATTGAAAGGGAGTTAACGGGAAAAGACATACAAATGGATTATAAACAAATGAAAAGATGATGAACCTCAAAGAATATGAACTCAATAAGAATATAGCAAATAGAGCATTTTTTATTATGGTAAAATACATATAACATAACTGACTATTTCAGCCATGTTTTAAGCACATCAGTACTGTGCAACCACCACCATGATCTATCCCCAGAATCTTCATCTTGTAAAACTGAAACTCCATACTCATTAAACAATAGCTCTTCACCCCCAACACCTAGTAACTACTTGCTCTAATTTCTGTCTGTGTGAACTTGTTCATTCTAGATACTTTTTATAAGTGGAATCATACACTATTTGTCTTTTTTATGGGTGGCTTATTTCACTGAGTATAATGTCCTTAAAGTTCATCCATATTGTAGTTTATTGCAGAATTTCCTCCCTTTTTAAAGCTGACTAATATTCTATGGTATGTAAATACTGCATTTTGCTTATCCATTCATTCACTGATGGATACTTGAGCTGCTTCTACATTTTAGGTATTGTGAATAATGCTGCTATGGACATGGCCATAAAAACATCTTTTCAAGATATTTTTCAAATATTTTGAGTATATACCTAGACATGGAATTATTGGATCATACAATACTTTCATATTCAAGTTTTTGAAGAACTGCCTTAGTGTTTTCCATAACAGCTGTGCCATTTTACTTTTTATCAACAGTGAACAAGGCTTCTAATTTCTTCACATCTTTGCCATTTTCCTGCTTTTTGATAACAGCCATTCTAATGGGTATAAGATCTTGTTGTAGTTTTGGTTTGTATTCTTTGATCACTAGTAATATGGAGCATATTTTCATGTGCTTATTGATCATTCATATATCTTCTTTGGAGAAATGTCTATTCAAGTCCTTTGCCTATTTTTAAATGAGGCTTTTTTATTGTTGAGTCTTAGGAGTTCTTTATATATTTGGGTAATTATCCCTTATAGTGACAGCATTTAACCTTTCATATTTCAGAAAGTTTGGTGACAGAGTTGAATGTATCAAGAAATTAAATTTGATTCCATTTTGAGGAATTTATTGTGCAGATTCACTTACTAATGAGGGCAAAGATATGTGCAAGGATGTTCACTGTAGCATTATCATAAACACACAGAATGTATCACATAGCATTGCAAAACAGTAATTCAGGGTTTGATGGTATTGGGTAGAAATTCTCACATGTTAGTAGGTGTGTTTGTATATACATCCATTAAAATAAACTTCTATAAACCTTTTAAGAAAAACTGTCTTTAGTAATTGGCTAGCAGTAACTGAATATTCATTTGCTAAGCACTACTCTAAGGACACAGACTCACTTAATCCTTCCTGACAAGTCATGAATTAGGTGTTATAGGAATCTGCATTTTACAAATTAAGGAGCTGAGAATTAGAGAGACTAAGTAACTGGCTGTGGTCTCTTACATCTGGCTCCAGAGCCCATGCTCCTCACCAGGACCCTAACTGCTTTTTCAAGTATCTGTATGCATTTGAAATCCAGAATATAGTTGACATGGGTCAGTCTACACACACTCACATATACACAGGGCACATTTGCCTTCTCAGAAATCAAAGGGCTCAAAAGCCTACCATTCATAAACTACTGGCTAGAAAAAGGTTTTGTGGAAGTTCTGAGATGAAGTGAGTTGTTAGCATTGGTACAAGGGTAAGAACTTTATGAATAAGTTGGTACTCCACCTGGGACTTGAAGAATGGGCAATTTAGATGGGCTTAAAGGATGAAGAAAAACATGAATGAGGGAGGTAAATGTGAGTGAGGACCTAAAGGAAGGAAGGAATGTGGGTGCCTAACTGAAGTCAAGATCCATGCGGGGAGGTTGGTTTAATGTAGCAGATTACAGGACCCCCAAACAAACTAAAGACAGGACAAAGAGCATGTGAGGAACCTCCAGTTACCTTAATCTGCTCTTTGGTCCATTATTTAAGCAATAATAAGTCAAAGCCTTCCCATAAACAGAGAGGGTGGTAATCAGGACAGGTGAGAAAGGTCACTGTGCCTCTGCCCCCAACACACACACCTCCCTCTCCCTGCGTGGCTGAGCACTGACTCAGGAAACCACTTACAGCTCTAGTGATTGAACGAGTTTTGACTTGTCTCCTGTTCCAGCCATCACCTGTCCTCCCAACAGCCATTACGAGAGCTGCGTGAGTGTCTGCCAGCCCCGCTGTGCTGCCATCCGCCTGAAGAGTGACTGCAACCACTACTGTGTGGAGGGCTGCCAGTGTGACGCAGGCTATGTCCTCAACGGCAAGAGCTGCATCCTGCCCCACAGCTGTGGCTGCTACTCAGATGGCAAATATTATGAGGTAGGTAGAGGAGCTCAGCCCTGCCTGCTCCTCCTTGCCAATCACCAGAATTCTGTCTGACTCCAAGCGGCTGATTACACTGGATCAATTTTCCCACTTAATTATGAACTAATAGTGCTTATTTCTAGGGAGATGAAAGGACACAGGTTAGGAACAGGTCTGTAGAGTCTCTTGCTCACTGAGTATTGGATTTGGAAATGCATTTGGGCTTCCTCAGCATAGCAAGGTCTGCAATGCCCTGCTCCTTTTCTCTCTAGCATTTGTTTCTCTCTCTGCCATGCCTGTTTCTAGGCCATTCTGATTTCCTCTCCTGTCAGTCTTAGTTTGAAAGCTTCTGGTCAGCCATGACTATTTTTGGACACATGGTAGCGTGAATCTGACATTTGTAGATGTCTTAGTTGAGGACATTTCTAAATGGGAAATACAGCACTTGAGGCTGGGAGACTATTGAAGCTCTATGGGAGTGAGTGAAAGCATGTGCCATCTGTTACTCTGGTACTGTCCCCAGAGATTTCTACATAGAGTGCTTAATGCTATGCTTCCACAACCTACCCTATGGTTCTTTATATGTAGCGGCTTAAATAGTGAGCTAATGAAGATGTCCTTTGTAGGTATCACTTAGTAAGCATATTTGCTCACTAAATCAATTTTGTACTTTATAAATTTTGTTCATTCATTCAGTGACTCATTTATTTATTTTAACTTTAAATATTTTTTTATTTTTCAATTACAGTTGACATACACTATTATATTAATTTTAGGTGTGCAACCCAGTGATCAGACATTATATAACTCATTAAGTCATCATCCCGATAAATCTTTTACCCATCTGATACCATACTTAATTACTGGAATATTATTGACTATATTCCATATGCTGTACTTCCCATCCTGTGAATGTTCTATAACTACCAATTTGTATTTCTTTATCACTTAACCTTTTCCACCCACCTACCAAGCTCCCTGCTATCTCACGACCATCAAAATTTTTGTATATCTGAGTGTGTTTCTGTTCTGCTTGTTTGTTTATTTTGTTTTTGTAGATTGAGTTGTTGATAGATATGTATTTATTGCCATTTTATTATTCATATTTTTATCTTTTTTTTCTTCTCCTTAAAAATACTCTAACTAGTAGTACTGGTTTTGTGATTATGAATATCTTTAGCTTTTGCTTGTCTGGGAAGCTCTTTATATGTCCTTTGATTTTGAATGATAGCTTTGCTGGGTAGAGTATTCCTGGTTATAGGTACTTACTTTTCAGCACTAGATATTTCTTGCCACTCCCTTCTAGTCTGCAAAGTTTCTGTTGAGAAATCAGCTGACAATCTTATGGGAACTCCCTTGTAGGTAACTAACTGCTTTTCTCTTTCTGCTTTTAAGATTCTTTGTTCTTAACCTTTGGCTGTATAATTATGATGTGTCTTGCTGTGAGCCTCTTTGTGTTCATCTTGTTTGGAATTCTCTATGCTTCCTGGACTTGTACATCAATTTCTTACACCAGGTGAGGGGAGTTTTTAGCCACTATTTTTTCACATAGGTTTTCAATTTCTTGTTCTCTTTTTCCTTTTTCTTGCACTCCTATGATGTGAATGTTGGTATGCTTGAAGTTGTCCCAGGGGCTCCTTAACTATCCTCACTTTTTCAGGTATTTTTCTTTTTACTGTTCTGACGAGGTGTTTTCTGCTTCTTTATCTTCCAAATCTCTAATTGGATCCTCTGCTTTGTCTACTCTACTGTTGGTTTCCTGTAATATACTCTTCATTTCAGTGTATTATTCATTTCTGACTGGTACTTTTCCATCATTACTCTTTCAACCAGATTTTCTATCCCTTGTTCTTCTTCTCCTTCAGGTATTCCTGTTATTCAGATATTATTATGTTTCATATTGTCTTACATTTCTCTTAGTTCCTCTTCATTCTTTCCAAGCCTCTTTTCCTTGTCTTGCTCTTTCTGTGAGTTTTTTTTCTACTTAGTTTTCCAACTTGCTGATCCAATCTTCTGCTTCATCGATCCTGCTTTTGATACCTTCTACTGTGTTCTTCAGTTCAGAAATTGTTTTCTTCATTTCTTCTTGGCCCTTGCTGATAGTTTCTATTTCCTTTTTCATGTTGATATACTTTGTGGTCAGTTCATTGACGCTCCCCTGTAGTTTCTGGTAGCTCATTATGAGCTCTTTGAATTTCCTGATAACCAGTGCTTTAAATTTAATATCTGAGAGTTGACTTGCCTCTATTTCATCTAACATTATTTCTGAGACTTCCTTCTTTTCTTTCACTTGGGGATTGTTTCTTTGTCTTCCCATTGTTTGTGACACTCTTCTTGTTTCCTTAAGCTTCTTAAATTGATCTGTTTGTACTCCCTGGGTTTATGGAGTGAACTTCTGTGGTAGAATACCTGTGAAATTCAGTGGTGCAGTCTCCTTCAGGTACTTGATGTTCTCCGCTTCCACCTACTCTCTTTGTGTGTGTGCGCGCGCGCGCGTGTGTGTGTGTGTGTGTGTGTGTGTGGTCAGGGGGAGGCAAAATGGTTTATAACAGCAGAAGAGTATTTTATGATATTTACAATCACAGTCGGTAGAGAAGAGATAGAAGATGTTTAGGCTATATATAGTGTTAACTGTAATCTTCAACCCAACTTGCCACTTTTAAGAAAGGATGAACAAAAGATAAGTGTCTTGTTGGGGAGGGAAGGCCTGTGAGTTGGATCTAGAAAGCAGTGAGGTTGCAGGGCGGTCAGATTTTGAGGTAAGGTGAGAGTAAAGAATAGTAAACACGTGTAGTATGTGAGCAAATAGAGTTAATCACTACAGTAATAGAATTCAGGAACCTTTAAAGTGGGCTAAGATCCGGGATATGGGTTGAGAAGTATTTACAGTTGTATAGAACAGCTATTATTTATGATAATATTAGAGCAGCAATCATATGACAGACTCTATGTGATCTGTCTGAACAGGGGGTATAGACCTTTGGGTAGTGTGCTACAGGAAAACAGTGGTGTGAAGTTTAGAGGATTAGCAATACATTGTGGAGGAAAGAACAGGGGAATCTTGTCAAATAATACGATATAACCAGTAAGACTAAGAAGCCTATACAAAAAGAAGAGGAATACAAAGATACTATTAATATATAAAAGAAGTGAGAATAATGAAAAAATATGCAGCAACTTGTGTCTTCTCTGATATAGCAAAGTGAGATTTGTCTGTCTCTACTGTTGAGATGCCCCCTGTTTGGGTCCCTCTCTGGTCTTTTTGCAGTTCCCAGTTGTTTGTGTCTCTCTTTTTTTTTTTAAAGATTTTATTTATTTATCTTTAGAGGGGAAGGGACAGAGAGAGGGAGAGAAACATCAATGTATGGTTGCCTTTTGTGCATCCCCTGCTGGGAACTGGCCTGCAGGGAACCAGCCTGCAACCCAGGCATGTGCCCTGACTGGGAATCGAACCGCGATTGTCTGGTTCGCAGGCCCGCGCTCAATCCACTGAGCTACACCAGCCAGGGCTGTTTGTGTCTCTTGTGGGTAAAAGAAAACAAAGCAACAAACAAACATACAAAAAAAAGGGCAGGAGAAGGGAGGCAAAAGTGATAAGTTTGGGAAGAAAGGAAGAAGGACTAAAACAGGAAAAAAGAAAGGAGAGGAACAAAGTATTGAAAGATAAAGCAATAATAAAATTAAAAAATATAAGATTACTAAAAAAAAAGTTACTAAAGAAAGGGAAAAAACCACCACCAACAAAAAACCTTCCCTTGTTGGTTTCAAACTGTCCAGACTGGTTTTTCTGGTTGTAGCAAAACCTCTTCGTGGGCTGGGATGCGGGCACTCGAGTACCTGCCAGGCTGCTTGGGACCTGCAGAACAAGCACCGTCCTTCTCAGTCCTGTGGCGGAACTCAAATGCCTCCGCTCCCCCCCCCCCTGAATTGACACCAGATTGGGTGGGAAGCAAGCCAAGTTGCCATGGCAGGAGAATACCCCAGTCCACTTTCAAAAAAAAAAAAAAAACCTCTACAGACAGCCTGACTCTCAGCCCAGCCCAATCCCCAGCCAGACCAGTGACAACAATGCACCTCTCAATTCTCCTAGACTGGTGACCACAGAGTCTGTAGTTGAACACGGCCCTTTGTCTTTGTAACCCTCCCTGTAAACATAAACAGACAGGTCTCTGCCCAGTGTTGTCTAGCCTTGCTTAGATGGGGAGGGAGGGAGCTGCTGACCGGCACTGGTCACCTACTGAAGCTGCTGGGTGCCTGGGCTCCTGTGGCAGATGCCTCTGGCATTGGTCTCAGACAGATGCCTCTGGACCCTGACCTCAGAGGCAGTACTGGTGCCGTCTGGCCGCGGGTGCTGGTGGCCACCTCTTGTCTTTATGTATATTGGTCCCCTAGACCCCACTGACCTGTTGCTGTCTGGTCGTTCAGCGTCCCTCACAATTTCTGGTCTTCCATTGGTTTATTGCGCTGTTTCCCTGTAGATCTGCCAGGATTTTCACCCACGTGTACGGGAGCTGGTATCCGCTCCATTCTACTCCGTCGCCATCTTCCCTCCTCTTTCCATCATTGTTTTCTTTATGTATATTGGTACGCCTACATTGAGTATGTAAATGTTTACCAGAATTATATCCTTTTGCTTTATTGATTCTTATCATTAAGACATGTCTTCCATTTTCTCTTGCTAATCCTTTGAAATGTACTTTGTCTAAGTATTGATATCCCAGCTTTTTTATGTTGCTTCCACTTGCATGATGTATTTTTTTTTATCTCTTTACTTCCAGACTGGGTTTTTCAGTCTGAAGTGGGTCTATGTAGATATCATATGTTCAGGTCTTGTATTGTTATCACTTTAGCCACTCATTGTCTTTGATTAGAGCATTTAGTTCATTTTCATTTAAAGTAATTATAAATAGCTTACAGTTATTGCCATTTTATAAAAGGTTTTATGATATTTTTGTTTTCTCTGTTCTTTCTTGTTCTCTTGTGCTCTTCTCTTGTATGTTGATGACTTTCAGTTGTCTTGCATTTGGATTATTTTCTCTTTATTCCTTGTATATCTTTACTGATATTTGGTGTGTGGTTACCTGTGCTTCATATATATCAAGTTATGTTTATAGCCATCCGGTTGCTTAAGCTTCAACACATTTTGAAATTATTACCATTTTATTCACCTCCATGTTTATATTTTTATAATTATTATTACTTCCTTTTGTGTGTGTGTGTTTCTGTGTATCTTTTAATTATGGTTATAATCACACATGATCTCCTCAGTATTGCATTTTACCCTCTGTACTAGCTTTACAGTTGGTCGATTTGCTACTTTAATATGTGTTTAAGCTGGTGAGAGTTTCTTTTTTGCAATAGTTTCTTACTCATATTTTTTTTCTTTTCCTTAGAGAAGTTCCTTTAACATTTACTGTAATACTGGTTTGGTGGTGATGAACAGCTTTATCTCTTTCTGGTCTGGAAAGTTCTTTATCTATCCTATCTATTGTAAATCAGCCTTGCTGGGTGGGGTAATCTTGATTGTGGGTCTGCTTCTTATCATGTTGAACATCTTGTGCCATTCTCTTCTGGCCTACAAAGTTTCTGTTGGGATATCAGTTGATAGTCTTACTGGAGTCCCTTGTAGGTAACTAACTGCTTTTTCCTTGCTCTTTTTAAGTTTCTCTTTGTTTTTAACATTTAGCGTTTGAATTATATGTCTCTTGGTGTGGGCCCCTTTGGGTTCATCTTGTTTTGGACTTTCTGCACTTTCTGGGCTTGTATGATACCACCATGATGCAAATGTTGTCCTAGAGGTTGCTTAAACTATCCTCATTTTCTTGCTTCTTTTCTTTTATTTCTGTTTTACTTAGTGTTTCCACTTGCTTATCTTTTAGACACCTGATTTGATCCTCCACTTCTATAATCTGCTATTTATTCCATGTAATATATTCTTAATTTATTTTTTGATTTTAATCTTATTTTATTTAATTTTTCTTTTTTTATTGTTGCTCACATACAGTTGTCCCCATTTTCACCCCACCTCAGTCTCCTGCCCCACCCATTCCAGCCTTCCACCCACCAACCTATCCTCTTTGGCTTTGTCCACATGTCCTTTATACATGTTCCTTGATGAACCTTCCCCTATTTCCCCCCATTATCCCTCTCCCCCAGCCCTTCAGGCTACTGTCAATTTGTTCTTTAATTCAAGGTTTCTCTTTATATTTTGCTTGCTTGTTTGTTTTCTTGATTAGGTTCCACTTATAAGTGAGATCATAAGGTATTTGTCTTTCACTGCCTGGATTAATTCACTTAGCATAATGTTCTCTAGTTCCATCCATGCTGTCACCAAGGGAAGGGGCTCCTTTTTTCTTTGTGCTGCATAATATTCCATTCTGTAAATGTACCATAGTTTTCTTATCCACTCATTTATTGATGGGAATTTAGGTTGCTTCCTAGCATTTGGCTGTTGTAAATTGTGCTGCTATAAACACTGGGGTTCATAGGTTCTTTTGAATTGGTGTTTCAGGATTCTTAGGGTATAATCCCAGCAGTAGTATTGCTGGATCGAAAGGCAGTTCCATTTTGAGTTTTCTGAGGAAAGGGACATAAAGGAAAGAATAAAAATAACAGGACTTCATCAAAATAAAAAGCTTCTGCATGGCTAAAGAAAACAGCAGTAAAATGAAAAGAGAACCAACTGTATGGGAAAATATATGTGTCAGCGATACTTCAGACAAGGGTTTGACCTCCAAATTATATAAAGAACTCACACAACTCCACTCCAGGAAGACAAACAACCCAATTAAAAAAATGGGCAAAGGACTTGAACAGACACTTCTCTGAGGAGGACATACGGAGGACCCAGAAACATGTGAAAGGATTCTTGGCATCACTAGCCATCAGAGAGATGCATATTAAAACCACAATGAGATACCACTTCACACCAGTCAGAATGGCCATCATAAACAAAACAACAAAGTGCTGGTAACAGTTGTGGAGAAAAGGGAACCCTAGTGCACTGTTGGTAGGATTGCAGACTGGTGCAGCCACTGTGGAAAACAGCATGGGACTTCCTCAGAAAACTAAAAGTATTCTTAATTTTTGTTATTGTATTCTTTATTTCTCATGCTTCTTTTTTATGGTTTCTATTTCTTTTTACAAGTTTCACTCAGTACATATATTCTTTTTCTAAGTTCATTGAGCTTCCTTGTAACTGGTGTTTTCAACTCTGTAGCTGGTAGTTTGCTTGCCTCCATTTCATTTAGTTCTTTTTCTGGAGTTTTGTCCTGTTCTTTCATTTGGGACATTTTCTTTGTCTTCTTATTTTGTCAGCCTCCCTATGTTTGTTTTTGCATATCAGGTAGATTTGCTTCAACTCCCAGTCTTGGCAGTGTCCTGATATAGTAGGTTTCTTGTGGGGCCCAATGGTGCATGTCCCTGAGCTGGCTGGTCCATGGTGTTCCTTGAGTGTGTCGTGTGTGCTTTCCTGCTGTAGTTGACACTTTATTGCTGTTGGCCCACCACTGGGTGGGATTAACCCTACCGCTTGACCTCCTGTGAGGAACTGGCCATTACGACACCAGACAAACTATTGTGTAGGATTCGCTTTAGCAGGGTTCTAGTTCCTGTTAAGTCCGCACTTTGGCTGTGTCATTGGTTGAGCTATCAAGTGGTACTCTAATATGGTCTGAAACTGGCCACTGGTGTGTTGGTCCTGGGGCATCCTTAAAGTGGTGTGGGGTCTCAGGGAATTACCAGGGTGTGCTAAATGAGCAGTGTTAGCCAGGTTAATGGAGACTAAGTTTTGATGCCTGCCTAAACTTGCCAGCTGTTTGGGGGGAGGGCTCAACAAAGGAACAATGGCACCTATAGGTACTTTAGTCCCAGGGGCAGTTGCCCCTCCAGCCCTTGCCCTTGCCTGGAAGCAGAAAAGCTCAGTTCCTTCCTGTATGTTCCACATGCTATTCAAGCTGCTGTCCTTTCACTAGAGCTTAGAGTGAGTTTTTCTTGAGGAAGTGAGGCTGTGCTGTGCTCCAGCCCTTTAACAGGAGTGCCTGGGACTCCAGCGGCCTTCTCTCTCACCCAGATGGAATCCTAGCTAATTCTCACAGCTAGGCATTGTAGAGGCTCCTCCTCCTGACACTGGTGCTCTGGGTGGAAGAGCCTCACATGGCCCTTACAGGAAGGACTTCCACAGCTGAGATATCCCTCCTGCTTCATAACCACTGCACGGTGTGGAGCCAGACCTTTCCATGTCTGCGCCCTCCTTCCAGTCTCAACATAGCTCTTCTTTAGTCTTAGTTATAGAACTTCTACTGAGCTAGTCTTTAGGTGGTTCTCAAGGATGATTATTCTATAATTTAGATGTAATTTTGATGTGGTCATGGGAAATGCTGGGCACAGCATTTACCTACTCTTTCATCTGGACTGGAATTAGGAATTGCCCTGCAAGATGTCATTATCTTCAATTCAGGGATAGCAAGTGTGCGGTCTGGGGGGTGAGCAGAGCTCCTGGGGGTAGCCTAGAGAGAGTGCCCAGGCTGGACTGAAAGTCAGTTGACCTGATCCGGAAGCTTTACTTTCACAGAAAAATCACTATTTTTAGATCTTTTACTGCAGGACACTTAAAAATGCAGGTACTTGCAATAGAAATGAATTAGAAGTAGCCTAGCTACAAGAAAAAAGCTTGGGGTGTTGAATATTCTGAAATTTTGAAGTGGTTCATCATAAAGGTTGTTTATCACTTTCTTTTTACATATTTAAGATTTGAAGAGTCAGTTATTATTGTTTTATTATTCTTGAATGAATTTAAATGTCATTCTTGAAGTGGAACTGGTACTTATTAGAATAAATTTTTAACAAATATATTTCCTTCACCTAGTTCCTTTAATATTTACATTAGTTGTGAGTAGTTCTACAATCCAGCTGTAAGGATGCCCACATTTTGTTTGAAACCAATAAACACTAAATTACATATTGTTTGGCATTTGATTACATGGAACTAATGTAACATTTGAATTAAAGCAGCCTTCCTAGTGCTCCCTGTTGCCAATTTCTGCCCCACTAAAGAAAGGCTAGCCCAGCCAGGGTCCAAATGGACTGGGCTTGGCGTCCCTAACCCTGCCTATACCCTGAGCTCAATGCAAATGGCGCCTCTCTTCCAGCCCAAGCAGCTTTTCTGGAACAGTGACTGCACCCGGCGCTGCCGCTGTTTTCGGCGCAACCTGATCCAGTGCGACCCGCGCCAGTGCAAGTCAGACGAGGAGTGCGCCCTTCGGAATGGGGTGCGTGGCTGCTTCAGCACCAGGACCTCCTACTGTTTGGCGGCGGGGGGCGGCGTCTTCCGCACCTTCGATGGAGCCTTCCTCCGCTTCCCAGCGAATTGTGCCTTCGTGCTCTCCACCATCTGCCAGAAGCTGCCAGACATCTCCTTCCAGCTCATCATTAACTTTGACAAGTGGTCGTCTCCTAACCTCACTATCATTTCGCCCGTTTATTTTTACATTAATGAGGAGCAGATTCTCATCAACGACCGGAACACTGTCAAGGTGACAAGCCTGTCGTTGATTCTTAAGAAACGTGCCTGGGAACGAGGCATGGCCAGGGGAGTGTTTATTGTGGTTTTCCAAGAAAACCAGGTTTGAGGACAATAGGCTGTTGCTTTGCATGTACCATGCCCAGATAACCAGATTTAAAGAACATAAGTGTAAAGATGCTACAAGTATAAGAATGGGTCACCTTTAGTCCTTTGCTGACAATACCAAAGGCTTAAAGAAAGGTACAGTGTCTTAGGACCACAATATGGCAGTGGGTGTTAATAAAACTTCAGGTGATGAAGTGGTAGTATAAAGCACCTTCTATTCTGGATCAATTTCCAAAAAGCATCTAATTTGTTTTGAAGAGCCTTTAAAATTATTCTTGGCTCTGCCCACCTATACACCAAGACATGCTCTTTTATCTGTGCCATCTCTTCCAGAAGCTGAGAGAAGGCAAGCATGTGCCTAAAAAAAAAAAAAAAAAAACAGCTACCCAAATACAAACCTGACAGAGCATCCTCCACTGTTAGAGGGTGGCCTGATGACATATCAAAAGAAAGAAAGAAAACAGGGACTAAGTATGATGAATTTCTCATAGGCTGACTTTTCCTTTGGACGGCTGCCTGGTTTCTTATCAATCTTAGACATGTATAGAGACAAATAAATGAGTCTCCACCCCACCCCCATCTCTGACTTGGATTCTTCCCCCACCTCCATTTCAGAAGGTAATATACTCTGATCCATTGACAGGGACTCCTAGCCTCTCGGTTAAGCAAGGCTGCTCACAACAAGTAAACCTGAAGAGTGGAGTCACATCTCAGTGCTCGGATTATAGCTAGGGAGAAAGAGAGCCAGGGCACATACATTCACTTTTTTTTTTTGGAATTCAGTGTTATTCTGTGTACTTGCTTTCCATCATTGGCTCATTAAGTGTACCATTTTTTTAAAAAGATTTTATTTATTTTTTGACAGGGGGGAAGGGAGAAAGAGAGGGACAGAAACTTCAATGTGTGGTTGCCTCTTGCACACCCCCGTAATGGGGACCTGGCCTGGGTTGCAGGCATGTGCCCTGACTGGGAATTGAAACTATGATCCTTTGGTTTGCAGGCCAGTGCTCAATCCACTGAGCCACACCAATCAGGGCTGAGTATATCTTTATTTGAACTGTCATCAAATAACTCAGTATCCATCAAATAGCTTAGGCAAAAGACTGGCAGTATTTTTCAAGCTTAAAAGAAAGAGTTTGAATTATAATACTGGCTTTTAACTTCAGTGAAAGCTTCTACTACTTTTGACATCCCAACTTCTTTTGCAAATTGGCCCACAACAGACACAACTGTATTGGTCCAGAATCCTGGAGCTACAAAGTGAAAATGACCACCTACCACACCAAAAATGCCATTGTTGCTGAATAAAATAGCTCAAGCTACCAAAATAGTAAAGAATCATATTTTTAAAAGGCTTCTGATTGTTTAAGAAATAAAGTTTACTAATAATCTGTGGGTGATAAAAGAAAACTATTTTGTAAGTATCAGAGAAGCATGTTCTGTTCTGTCGTAAGGGCTAAGAAAAGAAACTGTTATACAGCAGGAAAATGGAGAAAATGCAGAAAATACTATTCCTATAGGATCTCTGGACCTCCTGTTTGAACTTTATAAGAAAGAAAACAATAAACATAGCAATAATCTTCAGATTCATTTCAACATGTTAGATTCTTCTCAGCACAGGATTGGATTTCATTTTCAGTAATTGGGTTATGCTTGGGAATGTTTTATTTAAAAAAAAACCCAGCTTGTGGGCTATAGTTTTTAATGTTTTCTTACCTCTCTGCTTTAATATTTTCCTTCTTTTAGGGGAACAGTAGATAGTAGGTGAGTGAGTGTCCTTGAATTCTGGAGCAGTGGTCAGCAAACTAAGATTTAGCCAAATTTACTTGCTGCCTGTTTTGGTAAATAAAACTTTATTGGAATACAGCCTCACTCATTTAGTGACATAGTGTCTATGGGCTGCCTTCCTGCCATGAGTTTAGAGTTGGGTAGCAATAGAGATCACAAAATATTTACTCTGACCATATTTGGCCACTATTACAGGCAATATTCACCAACCTCTGCTGTAAGGTCATTTACTTTTATTTTCTTCAATAGGTGAATGGCACACAAGTGAATGTCCCATTTATAACCGGGTTGGCAACCAGAATCTACAGCAGCGAGGGCTTCTTGGTGATTGACACCAGCCCTGACATCCAGATACACTACAATGGTTTCAATGTCATAAAAATCAGCATCAGTGAGCGGTTGCAGAACAAAGTGTGTGGCCTCTGTGGTAACTTCAATGGGGACTTAACTGATGATTATGTGACCTTGCGGGGAAAGCCAGTGGTGAGCAGTGTGGTGCTGGCCCAGAGCTGGAAAACCAATGGCATGCAGAAGAGGTGAGAATTCTAACTACAACTCCCTGTCCCAAATCCTCCCACTTCCACAGAGGGTGTTCATAAAAAATGCACTTTCCATAGCATCATTTTTCTCTCCTGCAAAGAGCTGAGTCAAATGTCTATGCAGTTTTTATGATACAAAGAGACACATCAAAGGCCTCAGTAATGTCTAGAATGCCAGAGGAAGGAACTGGGCTTAGGTAGTATAACTCTAAATTTTCATGTCGTTCAACCCTCGGCTAGACAGCCAAAGTGAAACTGGAGGGTCTACCTAGGCTGAAAACTGAAGCCTTCTCCAGCTGTGCAGCAGAGCACCCCTGCTGCAGTGAGATTCAGAGAGACTCGGGAGAAAAAGGGCCACCCCTTCCTCCCCAGTGCTGGGTCTGACTGTGTGTTTGGGACTCTTACCAGAAGGCTGGGTTGTGGTTGTACCAGTAGGGCTTGATTGGAGTCAAAAAAAGCCTATTTTGATACAGAAGTCATCAAGGTCATATCAGGCCTCTAATAATCCAACTTAGAATGAGCTCTAGGAGTTATTTCAAAGGTGTTTAATTTAGGGACTCTCTAGGCTGCTAAATGATAGTCATACCTTTCCGAATCTACAGATATGCTTCTCTTTCCCAGCATGTTTTTCCCCCGTGCAATGGCTCAATTCTCTTGTGCTTTAACATGCCAAATATCAACTAAATACCTGGATGTGGAAAGGAAGCTTCATACCCTTTTTGACCCTTCTGCAAGTAAACTGAAATAGTCCTGTGAACTACAAGGCCTGGAAAGGACCTTGGGCAACATCAGGTCCAGTCTCTTTCTTTTCTGGGTGAAACAGAGGCTAGTGCAGGAGGATGATCATGAGGAGATTCTGTAGGAGCCAGGAGCAGATTCCAACACTCCTAATTTGATGCTTTCTCTAAAATGCCATTTCTTCAGCCCACCATTAGAAAAATGACAATTTTGGATGTTTAAGCTATTCTGAGGCTTCCAAATATAAGCAGGTTTCAGTTTTTCCTGAGGAATTATGTTTCTGTTTGAACTTCCTTTTCTTTCCTTTCTTCCTTATTTATATAAATGATTTCAGCCTGATACCACTTTTCTTGTGAAGGTTTTGTTTTTGGTTTCTGATAGTTAAACTGCAACTGGTTTAGAACCTATGGACCTCCTTCCCAATCTTTAAATCTACCCACTGTCGTTACTGTTATAGGACTTATTATTACTACTACTATTTGTTATAGCAGTACCTGTTAATAATTATTATATCATTTATATCAGTCAATTATATCAAAGGTTAATGGTTATTATGTCAGTATCTATCTTTTGTCTGACACTTGGCTACCAGGTCATTGTTTTATTCTATGCTCACTTATCCCAGTGATACTAACAACAGAAATCACCTAACTTTCCTAAGGTCACATAGCAAATTGACTTCTGGGTCAGCAAAAGAGGTAACAGGCATGGTCTTGCCATGTACTGGTTTTGCTTCACTGATTCTGACTCAGCTTCTTGCCCCCAGCTGCAACGAGCTGCAGTTCTCACAGTATGCTGCCATGTGTGATAATGTGCATATCCAGAAGATGCAGGGCAATGGCTACTGCCTGAAGCTCACGGATATGAAGGGCTTCTTCCAGCCCTGCTATGGGCTACTTGACCCCCTCCCTTTCTATGAATCCTGCTATCTGGATGGCTGCTACAACCACAAGAAGTTCCAGCTGTGTGGCTCCCTGGCTGCCTATGGAGAGTCCTGTCGTTCCTTTGGGATCCTCAGCACTGAGTGGATTGAGAAGGAGAATTGCTGTAAGAGCATTATTTTATTTCTCCAGATTATTTTCTAAGTTAAAGGAACAGTGTCACTGGTTGTGTTGCTTTGTCTTGTTGAGCTGGCTGGTCTCCACAGCTCTGCTTCCAGGGTTGGAAAGTTGAGAGTTGTGAGCTGCAGCAGAGATTCCATGAGGGCGTGTCCATAGAACCTCACTCACCTGTATCCCCTCCAGTGATGAAATTTAGATACCAACTGCGGAAGATGCGTTGCTCTGAGCTGGATAAGTTCAGTAACTTATGAGACAGAGGGACAATGTATGGGGCCCCCAATTCATTTCAGCTCCCAAACTCAGCTCTTCACCAGCTCAGAGCTCCCATCAGAAAGGGAAATGGCAAGTGCAGTTGGAATTGAGCTGCTTGTATCTGCCTGGGCTGAAAAAAAAGCTGTGGTTGAATTTATAAAGGAACTATATATATTACATTAGTGATAAAATAAATGTCTATGGTTTATTTTTTGTTCTGTACTAAGAATGTCATGTGATGTGTCTATCCATTATTCTATTTGCTCACTTTCTTACTATGTTAAACAAATACACAGAGAATATATGTATATAAACATAAATTTGTCATATACATATATGTGGTCACTCTGTCCCACTAATATAGTATGATACCATGTCCAACAGAATGTGTGCATGTACTGTAACACATACACTAACCCAATGTGCGTAGAGGTACCTCCATGAAAACCAGCCCATTCCAAAATTGTGCACATGCATCATAAAATTTGAAGATTAAACCTGACCAAGTACAATACTACAGTACAGTTAATTCAGAACTGAAAAACAATGTAGTTAATTAAAATATGCATTCAGTGATTTCAGAATTTCTTAAAATACTAGTCTTTTGGAAATCAACAGAAATGCTGTTTGGTAACTTTTAATACATTGTGTCAAAAAGTAACTCTTTAAATAACTTTTTTAAACTTCAGAAATTGGCTAAAAAATTTAAAAAATATATTAGGTTATAATTTTAACCTTAAAAATTCCTTGCCTGTGAAGCAAAGGGTCACTGGTTCGATTCCTAGTGAGGGCACATTGCCTGGGTTGCAAGCCAGGTCCCCAGTAGGAGGCACATGAGAGGCAACCTCACACTGATGTTTCTCTCCCACTCTTTCTCCTTCCCTTCCCCTTTCTCTGAAAATAAATAAATAAAGTATTTTTTTAAAAAATTTCCATTTAAGGGCATACCTTATTTGCCCATTGGCAGGTGGACCACCATATTTGTAAGGGAGGTCTTTTTCTTCCTGTGGGCTATTGCCTCCACACCTTCTTCTTATGTTCTTGGTTGTTTTCATATTGTATTAATTAAGCATAACACCTACTGAGGGGTTCATATGTGCTTAGCACTGTGTGAGGCAATGAACATACCAGCAAGTGAGAGGGTCTTAATAAAAGGAAGACCTTAAAAATAAATGTATTTAAATGATGCTCATGGCTTTCCTTTAGTCTTCCTTCCAAACTGAGCCTGAGGTGAGAGATGTTAAGCCATCACTATACATACCCTCATCTATTTCAATTCATTCCTCAGCAGAGGGCATGGCAACTGGGCCAGGAGAGGCATGTGGAGCTGTGGGGCAGTTCCACTCTTTTGTTTCACTTTTAAACTCATGCTGGGATTGAACAGTTGTGGTTTCTGTAGCTCTCACCATCATTTACCATGATGGATAGAAGAATTATTACATCCACAAATGGAGAGAGATTCTTTAAAGAAGTGAGTGCCTCAAAGAAAATGATCTCAATTAGTGCTTTCAGACTGATCTTGAAGGTGGTCTGTGGACTCCTCTGCTACAAAAAATTTATATTTTATTTATAATGTAAAGTAAAACACTTATAAAGTAAAAAAAATTGCCTTTTGACAAAATACTCCATTAATCTAAATCAATGCTTGTTGTGAGTTGTGTGTCCGTTTTTATCTATTACTATAAAATCAAGTAGAAATTTATGAGGAAGGAGGACCATGAGGCAAAAAGATTAAGATGTCCTGGTTTAAGGGTCCTTACTGGCCCTAAAATTTTCTGGCTTGACAAATAGTTGTGGAGCACCTCCTCTGAGGTGACTGGGTGTTGGGGACACAGAAGTAACTGATTTGGATCCTACTCTGTGCAAAGACATGAAGGCACAGGGTAGTGAGTGGAGCAGCTGTGGTGTGCCGGGGCAGTTAAGACTGTTTATGCATTCCATCTTCACCCCTTAGCTTTACCTGTGTGTGACCTTAGGTGTGTCATAGCTGTGAAACAGGGGTTACAATGCTTAGCTCACAGAGCTGTGGTGAGGGTGGAGGAGATGATGCAACTAGAGCGTGAAGCAGGGTCAGGCCCATGGTGAGGTCCCAATTACCAGCTGCTGTAATCATTTACTGGAGGGTAGCTGTGTGTGTTCATTTGTGGCTGCTATCTGACCATTACAAGTTCCATTAAAGTGACAAATCCCAAGTGTAACCACATGCTACTGTGTGTTGGTGTGAAAATCAACTTGTGCATGTTTCTGTGTGTTTTCCTTTTTAGCAGGAGTGGTTGAAGATCCCTGTGTGGGGGCAGACTGTCCCAACCGGACCTGTGAGCTAGACAATGGAGGGGAGCTGTGCGGGTGCATTGAGCCACCTCCCTATGGAAACAGTGAGTGACACTTGCTATCCCACCCCCTGCCACCCAAACAGGCCCATTGGGAGAGGCCCACAGCTGTGTATGAATGCTCCAGGACTGTAGCCCTCGTGCTCCACATTGTAGGTTAGAAACCCAAATAGCAAAGCTTTAACAATCATTTAATCAGAACAAAGAAGCAATCTGGCCACTTCAAACTAGGTTAATATGTATTTCCTCATAGCCACATCCTTTTCTGCAATAAATTACAACATAAAAGTTTGTACATGAATGTAATCAGCCAGTTTCATCTGAGGCGACATTCAGCATTAGAGAGATTCAAACTGATCTTTGAGAGTCACAGAAAATGAGAGTTTGATTAAAAAAAAAAAGGATCAAGGTACAAGAGGCAGTTGCTTTAAAACTCATTTAGACATTGGATCTAAGATAAAGGAGAAGTAAGTAGAAACTCATTAACCTCCTCCCAGGACCAATCTGGAGTTACAACTAAATTATAGAGAAATCATACAGAATAACCAACTGAACACTAGCCAGAGAAAAGCCTTATAGCCAAAGACAGACAGAGGAAACCACTTGACTGGAATAGGTCTGATAGGGAGTGTGGAGAAGCACAAGGGCTGGCTGGAATCCCATGGGCAGCAGCTGAGGCGCTGGAGGGATAATTCAGTGGCCCAGTGATTTCCCCTGAGAAGAGTAGGGTCTGAATTCCAAGCTTGGCTCCCCATCCTACAGCACCAGAGCCAGAAAGGAACCCAGATTAACATCTACCTATAAAAGGCAGCCAGGATTTTGACTGCCAGAAAGAGATGGATGAAGACTCAGAGAGCCCCTTAAAAGGCCAAAGAACAAAATTTCATTTGCAGCCATTTACCCTGGGCTCTGGCAGAGGGAGAGGAAAGTAGACAAGAGACACTTGAGAGAGTCTGGTGCTGGTGGCTTGGAGAGAGAGCTGAAGGAACAGCTACCAGGATCCATGTGTTGAGTCATTCTCCATACTGCAGGAGCCATCTCTTTTAGGCAGAGCACTCCTCTGTGGATGGCATCAGCTTGGAGGGAAGCAATAGCCCTGCTCACAGAAATTACTCTGCCTACCCCCACTGCCCATGGTGCTTAATAAGCAGGCTGCTGATTACAGCTTGATTAGATCAACAACTGATCGACTTAATGACTGAAGAGTTTAGCAGTTAAGGTGGAAAATACAAAGCAGCCAAAATGGGAGACAAAGAAACAGACTTCAAGTGAAAGAACAACTGAATTCTCCAGAAGAGCTAGGTGAAATGCTGGCAAAGGATTTATCAAACCTTAGAGTAATGATTATAAGGATACTCAACAGCATGAAAAAAGACATAGAACCACAAAAAAGGACCAGTCAGAAGAATGCAATATTTGACATGAATAATACACTGGAAAGAATAAACAGTAAGTTAGATGAAGAAGAGCATTGAATCAGTGTTTTGGAACACAAGGTAGGGACAAAAATGCCCAGGTGGAGCAGAGCAGCTAAAGGTGAAAAGAATTTTAAATAAATGGGAACAGCTTAAGAAACATTTTGGACAACATGAAGTGTAATATCTACAGCATGAGAGTAGAAGGAAAAGAGAGTGGTGAAGGGATCAAGAATTTATTTGAAGAAATAATGACCAGATACTTCCATAATCTTCTGAATGAAAAATGAAAAAGACACACAAGTTCAGGCAAGTCAGAAAGCCCCAAACAAGTTGGAACCAAAGAGGTCTACACCGAGACACATAAAATGACAAGGCTTAAAGACAAGGAGAGAATCCTAAAAGCTGCAAGAGAAAAACAGAGAGTTACCTAGAAGAATGCACCAATTATACTGTCATCTGATTCCTCAACAAAAACATTTCAGACCAAAAAGAAGTGGCGTGAAATATTGAAAGGTAATGAAAAGCAAAAACTTAAAACCAAAGCTACTTAACCCAACAAGGCTATCATTCAAAATTGAAGGAGAAATAAGGAGCTTCCCAGACAAGGAAAAGCTAAAGAAGTTTGTTAACACCAAACCAGTACTGCAACACATGTTAAAGGGCTTGCTTGAAAAAGAAGGAGAAATAGGAGGAGGAAAAGGAGAAGGAAGAGGAAAAAAAGAAGGAGGAGAAGGAGAAAACAGTCTAACAATAATATGGCATTACAAACATATTTATCTATAAACACCTTAAATATAAATGGCTGAAATGCTATGACCAAAAAATAGAAGGTAGCTGAATGAATAAAAAAACAGGACCCATATATATGCTTCCACCAAGAGACTCATCCACAACCAAAAGGTACACCCAGACTAATAGATATTAGTCTGGCAAAAGATATTTCATGCAATTGGAAAAGAAAAAGAAGATGGTGTAGCAGTACTTACATCCAACAAATAGACTTTAAAACCAAGGCTATAGTGAGAGATAAAGAAGGACACTCCATAATGATAATGGGAACAATCTAACAATAGGATATAACCTCAGTAAACATTTACACACCCAACATAGGAGCACCTGAATATGTAAAGCAAATCTCAATGGACATAAAGGGAGAGATCGAGAGAAATACAGTCATAGTTGGGGACTTCAGTGGATAGAACTTTCAGACAGAAAATCAACAAGGAGACAGTAGCCTTAAACAACACATTAGACCAAATGAATTTCATTGATATCTCCAGAACATTTCACCCCAAAGCAGCAAAACGTGCATAATTTTCAAGTGGAATGTTTTATAGGATAATCTGTTAAGACAAAAAACCAAGTATCACTAAATTTAAGAAGATTGAAATTATATCAACCATTTTCTCTAACCACAATGCTATGAAACTAGAAATCAGTCATGAGAAGAACACACAACAACATGGAAGCTAAATAGTATGTTCATAAACAATGAACAGGTTAACAATGAGCTCAAAGAAGAAATCAAAAGATACCTTGAAACAAATGAAAATGAGGGCACAACAATCCAAAATCTGTGGCACACTGGGAAAGCAATCCTAAAACGGAAATTCATAGCATTACAGGCCTATCTCAAGAAACAAGAAAAAAACCTCAAATAAATTATCTAACTTCACACTTAAAGGAACTTGAAGAAGAAAAACCAACAAAGTCCAAAGTGAGTAGAAGGAAGTAAATAATAAAGATCAGAGCAGAAATAAACAAAATACAGTCTTTAAAAAAAATGGTACAAAAGACCAATGAATCCAAGAGATGGTTCTTTGAAAAGATAAACAAGATAAGCAAGATTCTCCACACTCATCAAGAAAAAAAGAGAAAGGACCCAAATAAATAAAATCAGTAATGTAAGAGGAGAAACAACAACTGACACCAGAGAAATACAAAGGATTGCAAGAAGATATTTTGAACAACTATATGCCAACAAACTGGACAACCTGGATGAAATGGATAAATTCCTAGAAATATACAATCTTGCAAAAGTAAATCAGGAACAATCAGAGAATCTGAATAGACAGATCACACCTGATGAAATTGAAGCAATAATCAAAAAGCTCCAGGCAAACAACAGGCCTGGACTGGATGTCTCCACAGGTGAATTTTACCAAACATTCCAAGAAGAACTAACAAACACCTCTCCTTCTCAGACTCTTTCATAAAATACAAGGGGAGGGAAGGCTCCTAAATTCATTTTACAAGGCCAGCATTATCCTAATTCCAAAACCAGGTACAGACATTACAAAGAAAGAAAATTACAGGCCAATATCCCTGATGAACATAGATGCTAAAATCCTCACCAAAATATTAGCAAACTGAATACAGTAATGCATCAGAAGCATCATATGCCATGATCAACTGAGATTTATTCTGGGAATACAAGGTTGGCACAACATTTGCAAATCCATAAATTCAACACATAAACAAAATTCAGGATAAAACCACATAATCATGTCAATAGATGCAGAAAAAGCTTTTGAAAAATCAGCACCCATTTATGATAAAAACCCTCAGCAAAGTGGGAATAGAGAAAACATAACTAAACATAATAAGGCCATATATAACAAACTCATTGCCAGCATCATACTTAATGGGCAAAAACTACAAGTGTTTCCCCTAAGATTGGGAATGAGACAGAAATATCCACTCTCACCTCTTATTCAGCATAGTACTAGAAGCTCTAGCCATAGCAGTCAGACAAGAGGAAGAAATAAAAGGCACCCAAATTGGACAGGAAGTAAAACTGTCTTTATTTGCAGATGACATGATGATGTACATAGAGAACCCAAAGACTCCTCCAAGAAGCTACTAGAACCAAAAAGTGAATTCAGCAAAGTAGCAGGTACACAAAACTAATATCCAGAAATAGTTTTATTTTTATATGCCAATAAGGAACTAACAAAAAGGGAAATTAAGAAAACAGTCCCATTCACAATCGCTTAAAAAAAATACTTAGGAATAAACCTAACCATTGATGTTAAAGACCAGTACTCAAAAAATTATAAGACATTTATGAAATAAATTGAAGAAAATACAAATAGTGGGAGCACATATCATGTTCATAGATAAGAAGAACTAACATCACTAAAATGCTGGCACTACCCAAAACAATCTATAGATTTAATGCAATTTATATCATGATTCCAATGACATATTTCACAGAACTAGAACCAATATTTCAAAAATTTGTGTTGAACCACAAATGGTCTTGCATAGCAATAGTGATCTTGAGAAAGGAGAACAAAGTTGGAGGACTCACACTACCTAATATCAAGCTATACTATAAAGCCATACTAATCAAAACAGCCTGGTACTGGCATAAAAACAGACACATAAATCGATGGAACAGAATAGACCTGCCCAGAAATACACCCATACTTTTATAGTCAATTAATATTCAACAGAGGAAGCAAACACATACAAGGAGCTAAAGATAGTTTATTCAATAAACATTGTTGGGAAAATTAGATGGATCTGTGCAGAAAAATGAAACTAGACCACCTACGTACATCACAAACAAGAATTAATCAAAGTGGATCAAAGACTTAAATATTAGAGCAGAAACCATAAAAA